CACACACACACACACACACACACACACACACACACACACACACACACACACACACACACACACACACACACACACACACACACACACACACCACACACCACACACACACACACTCACACACAATGCAGTGTACGTCTAACGCCATAACAAGGTGCTGAACACTCGCGGACACAATCAAACACACAGTTGCGAGAGCAAGACGATCGTGCGTTACACTATTATTTTACTGAAATGGCAGGGTTCAACTTTGAGACTCAGCTCCAAGAGAGACTTGGTGTCCCAGATGCAATTTGGCTTGGATACGTCCAAGTTGACCTGAACAAACCCGAGATAGGCCGTGGCTCGGATGCCACTGTGTATACAAGTGAGTTGGAGGGTCTCCCTGTTGCTGTGAAGGTCTTACATAGTATTTTACTCCAACAGGGCAATGTCGGGCGTGCAGCTCTTCTGCAGCGATTCGGCACTGAGTGCCTAGTCATGCGGCGACTGCAACATGAAAGAATTGTGCGACTCCTCGGGATCGGCATTGCTCCCAATCAATCTCCGTGTATAGTGGTAGAACTGATGGCCGGCTCGCTATTTGATCGAATTGGAGTTGAGCCAAGAGAGCCATTCGCTCAAAGCCTTCAGTATCTACTCGACGTGGCAGAAGGCTTGCGCTTTCTGCACGGCAAGAACATTTTGCACCGCGATTTGAAACCACGTAACATCTTGGTCACGGCAGGGCGAGCCAAGATAGCTGATGTTGGTTTGGCCCGCACTCTTCACGGTAGTCAAGGTGCGGACGTCACGGCTTTGACACGATGCCCCGGTACGCCTTATTTTATGCCGCCAGAGAGCCGACAAGTAGGAACAGCATACGACGAGAAACTGGATGTGTTTTCTCTAGGAGTGGTGATGCTGTCGCTGCTTGTGGGACGACCGCCTTCCCCAACTGAAGCTACTGTTCTGCTGGAGAATGGAACGCGGAGATCAGTTCCGGAGGGTCGCCGACGCAAAGCAGATCTGGATCGACTGGGCTCGGATCACCCACTGCATTCTCTAATCGTGTCGTGTCTGCATGATGATCCTGGATCTAGACCAACATCGGCTGATGTTCACATGCACTTACTGCAGATCTCACCTCACTCTATGGTATGGATGTACTCACATAGTATAACATGACTTTGTGCTCACTGTGCTGTACTGTTAGCATACAGCCTAGCTGGGTATACATGCAATGTGTAAATGTAAATGGGTAATACTGGCTGATGCATGCCTGAATGGTGCAGCTACCAGAGCATACATTAGACCTGGCTTTGCCTATGTACACACTCATACTCTAAAAGCGCGTTCGCCAAATTGTCACTCTTTGACTTTTCCAGGAGATTCGCTTTTCTGAAGAGGTGGCCTTATTGGCCTCTTCAGAAAAACGAACTCCTCGAAACTCCACAACCTCATCCGATGGGAGGGGTGGATTAGTTCCAAAGAGTTTGGAATAGCCACGTCATGTAGTACGTGGAGATGGTCGATCTGATCGGACGTCCTCATCGCCAAGACAATTCGACTGAAAAACTCTAAAATGCCAGAAACCGTTCTAATGGGACACTTCAACTAATCTCTTTTATAAATTTGTTCGAACAGTTGATGAAGACAATTCAAACGCCCCCTAAGTCTTAGCTGGCTGTGCAGCATGACATTGTATTACACATGATAAGGGTGCTGATATTTCAGTGGAGGCGGCGCACCCTGTCTGGACTCTTACACTTCAACAAGGCAAAACACTGACGTGTGCAAGATGATTGTATTGAAAAACACAGGCCTCACAATCACATGCTGGCTGGTGACTGGCTGTTCCTATGACATCAGCCATGTGACGTGTACTAGTACATAGGTGTAGAGTGCATCTGCAGTATGCATAGTATAGCCCAGTGAAATTATGTAATCAACTGGTGGGTTGTTATAGATTTGCATAGGTCCCTTATCCAGATTGGTAACATGAAAACATGAAGTAGTGGATCAGAGTCATAAGGGGTCATCCGTGATTTTCTAAAAATTAAAAAATCCGTCTTCATGCAAAAAGGGGGTGGGCGGTCAGGAGTGATGGCGGAATTAAATTTTTTGATTTTTCCGAGTCTATTTTTCATACACTTTTATTTATTCATTACTTCAGTGACTTTCGTACAGTTGTTGCACTGGCTTTGCAGTGTACTGACTGTACTCGTAATGTCGCAAACACCAGTATGATGAACATGTAGTTGTAGGACGTGCATGGCCGTTGGTAGACCTACTAAAACAAAAACAAACAAAAACCAGAAACAAAACAAACTAGTACAGTAGCTACTAGTACAATGTACCTGACACAGGTGCAGTCAGTGACCCTGGGGTCAGGAGTTCTTTTTTTATAGCTGGGCATTGGGAAAAATCAAAATATTAATGGGAAAAAATGGTGGGTGGGTGGGTTAGAGACAATTTTGCACGATGACGGATTTTTTTAATTTTTCGATAATTACGGACGAGACTCCTAAATCCATAATAGCAATGACCAGTTAGTACTACTCAATATACAGAGATTACTGCTCCACTCCGTCAATTTTGAATTCTTCCTTGCAAAATAATTGAATGCTCTCTTTCGGATTTGTGAAATTGTCTCGTTGTACTACACATCACGGGATATTTGTGTTTTCTGTGATCCATAGGTAGAAATGCTTCAATTGCGTGCACGCAGAGCATAAGAATCTATAGTGTGTGTGTGTGTGTGTGTGTGTGTGTGTGTGTGTGTGTGTGTGTGTGTGTAAAAATAGTGGCGGTCATCAGCCTTGCAAGCTGTTGAATGGTGTAATCCCAGCACAAGTTGCTATGTCTAACATAGCTGTTCGCTATCATCGCTTCCGCGATGGGCAGGTCTGAGGTCTGAGGTGTGTGTGTGTGTGTATGCGTATGCATGTATGTGTTTGTGTGTGTGAATATGTGTGCGTGTGTGCATGTGTGTGTTTGTGTGTGAATATGTGTGTGCATGTCTATGTGTGTTTTTGTGGATGGTGTTATTTTTTACGTGTTTGTCTAGTCCGCAGATCGTTATTTGAGTCAGTTTGCAGACATTCTGACTCAACTACAAACGATTTCCACACAACAACAGGCAATGATCACCCGAGTGACAGCTGTGGAAGAGAAAGTGAACGGCATGGATGCATTGAGGGAGAGAGTTTCTACCGTCGTCACTAACCTCAGTTCACTCAGCTCCAACGTGGATACACGCTTGGCTGCAGTGGACTCACGCATTGCCGCAGTGGATTCACGCTTTGCTGCCCTGGAGTCACGTGCCTCCAGACAGTTGTCACCTTCACCATCAACAGCATCAGCAGCAGCGGCAGCAGTAGTTGCTGCATCTCCACCACGGAAGGTTGGTCTACTTTTGAAAGGCTTACTTTTACAAGTACAAGTTTATGCGACGGTGTATCAAATTTCTCCTACAGTCTGTTGCCCTGCATGACTGGGTGTGTAGTGGTACGTGTATGACGTCATCATGTATTAGTTGAGTATAGTTTACATACACACAACACTGGTGTGTGTTCAAGTCAGAGTTTCACTATGCAGGGCAAAACCATGAGTATATATGACTAGTTATGCTACAAATGATATTAGTTTAGTCCTTTCCTTTGTTCGTTTTGCTGCCGACTCCATTGTTGTTGCCTCAATGATGAGTTGTGGTCATGGTAACGCTTGAAACTGCTTTGTCATAGACCTTCCGGAGGATTGATAGCGCTGCCCATTCTGATCAATTGTTGTAGGGTTGTATAGTCAAAAAATGTGTTCCCTCACCTTAGGGTGATGTATATACCATCATCTACTCCTTATACGAAACATGAGGCCAATGAAAATTTGAAATCGAAGTATGAAGTGTATGACCACCCAGCCAGGTTTGACATCACTACTTTCTCCCTCTATGGTCCTAGTGTCGATTGCTGCTGTTCTTACTGCTTCCCTGTATTGCAGCGTGATTACACACAGATCCGCAAATCAAGGTGCTCATTTGGTAGTCACGGCGGAGGGAGAGACCAGTTTAACGGCCCTTCGGGACTAGCATCCAACAAAGCTGGTGACCTGATCATCTGTGACGCCAGAAACCACAGAATAAAGGTAACTGAACTCACAGTACATTGATATCCGACAAGTGCAATTTGTATATAGATGTCACTATGATACATGACCTGCTCGGGAGGGTCTGTGTGTGCATTAGTAGAATTTATAAATAAGGATCCCAATTTGTCAAGTTGAAGATGCTCAAGACTGTCTGAAACAGTAGTAGACAATCCCTTGGATGAATTCTTCAACATTTAAATTTTACGTTATTGCACCATCCAGTTAACCTGCAATCCCAGTGAACACAAGAGCCGCGTGAGAAGTTGATATGAGCAGAGTGTCATTTCTCTTCAGACGTGATCAGTTTTTCTAAACTATCAAACTGGAGAAAGGTGATCATTGTAAATCACAAAAGACTTTGAATACCTGTGATACCCCCACTCGTTAATATTTTCTTGGCCGAGCCATTCCAATTTCACATCACCACCGCAACGAGGACATTTCCATTGTGATATTGATATCTCAGACCCTGAAGGCAGCTGCTTTGCTCCAACAGAGCTCATCAGTGCTGGTTGCTGATCCGGGTGAAGGAATAATGTTATAATAGGGTAAAACAGTCGCAATTCTGCGCTTTCTACGTCGAAGTTAGGCATGCTATAGGACACTGAGGCTATAGGTGATAACAGATCGTGCAAGTGTGCGTTACTGGGACATACTTTCAGGTCGTCTGCAGTACTAGAATTGGTGCAAAATAAACAAACAAAGAGAGGTGCTACTAGTAGCCAATAGCCACTCATACATACGAGTGCTGCATGTCCAAACACTGCACGCTTGTATTGTCACATCTGTTAAAACTGTCGGTTACAGTGAAGCTTGGTTATAACGACATTGGTTATAACGACAGATCAGCTACAACGACAAAAAATCCATGGCAGCAGCAATTTTGTATTGATTTGTGTACAAAAAAGATCGGTTGCAACGACAACTCGAATAACGACAAATCGAGAATAACGACCAAATTGTCATGCACCGTAGTGTGAAAATGGGTCAAAATAACGACATTCTCACGACTGAGAAGTACGATGTACGATCGGTTCTGGCTTTCACAGCTGCCGCGGGCCGGGTGCACAAGATCGTACAGTGCAGTCTAGTGTACATCGACTGTACACTACATTGCACTGCACACTCGTACACGCCCGGAAACTTCGAAGGAGTGTCGACATGTCGTAGATCTACTGACGGTAAAATACGTGTCCTGTGTACAGGTGTAGTGCGCACTTACCCTCCGTACCTTCCGTATCTTCTGCGACGGATTTTCGCAACATTATTCGCCATGCTTTTTTCTCCGAGAAATCACTTTCTCAGTTGTCGTTGGACCAAAGACTTGGAAGTTCGAGATGTCTTGCCCTGTCTCTGTTGGAAAGCGAAAGCGCTTTTCCTACGCGGAAAAGTACGCCATTCTGCAGGAGCTGGACAAAGGTGCAAAGCGGACATTCGTTCAAGAAAAGTATGGAGTCGCGCACGGTACTCTCGCTGGCTTCATCAAGAACCGAGAGGAGATTGTGGCCAAAGTGAAGAAAGCGACGTCAATGGATGCCAAGAGCTCTAGGCAGTCGAGTTTTCCTGAGTTGGACGAAGCGCTCCTTGTGTTTAGTTGAAAAAAGCACCATTGTGCAGAAAATTAATTTTGCCGCGTTTTGGTGTGCATATTGTGTTGGAAATCCCAAGATCGGATATAGTGACAGATCGCAAATAAGGACTTTTTTGGCGTTCCATCTCGGGTGTCGTTATAACCAAGCTTCACTCTATCACCTAACCCCTTTGTTTGCTAGGGCATGCCACACTAGAGACTCGGAAGGTGTGAAATTGTGAAAGTTTTCGCCTATACAACATCAATCACTCATTGTATCTTAATCAACCATTATCAACAACCTCCACTGATGAACTCTGTCACCATGTTGGACCAAAAAGCTATCTGGAGGGTCTGAAATGTCAATTTGTAAACTATATTGTCCTGGCTGTGGTGGTGATGTGCACGTGGAATGGGGTGGCCGACAGCACATTGGGTGTGCATGTGTGACTGACATTTTTGGACGAGCTTTTCGCTAGATTCACACTATAGAACTGCAACCAAATGTTTACTACATTTATGTTTGGATCTGGGCTATGTATGGGTGCATGGTTGTGTTAACATTTGTAAATTGTATTCCTTTTTGTCAATACACTTAGATACACGGTGTTGATGGCCAGTTCAAGAAGACGACTGGTCAGAAGGGTACAAACTGTGGAGAGTTCAACTGCCCAGTAGGTGTGCATGTAACAGATGATGAACGAGTGATCATTGTTGATACTGGCAACAACCGACTACAGGTATAGCCTTGGTGTTCCAATCATGTTGTAAGGATTACATGTAAACAGTTTCCTCTTTTATAGGCAAAATTAATCAACAATGCAGTAAAGCCAGCTGCTCAGAAAACTTCAAAAGGCCCAGAGAAACAAAAGTGAAAACCGGCACACGGGTGTGGGGGGGGGGGGCGTCCGTAAATTCATGTATTTACTTAGAGACGTCAAATAGGCGTTTCTTTCTTAACCCACCCACCCCTAGCGAGGCCCCGAAAAGTGCAGATAATACCACTCATAATAAACACCATGCTATGAACACGCATTCAGTACAGTCGACTCCACTTATAACGAATTCGCATTTTAACGAATTTCGTGATATAGCTAACCCTCGTCCATGTCCCTGTTTGAAACCATACAAAATTTGACCCTTTATAGTGAAGTTACAGCACAGTTTTCGTATAATTATAACGAACCAAATCTTGTAGGGTTGCATGTACATGTAAAGCAAGTGCACCTACATGTAAGTCATACTGTCATGGTCTACATGTGCACCTGAACCTTAATTAAACCAAGCCCAAGGATCCTGTTTCACACCTACAATTCTGCTGGTAGCTAGCTGTCACTGCATGCAAGCACATGTTTCTGGGAGTACAGAGTATGGTTGTGTATGTGTCCCTGTCTACTCTGCCGTGACGCGTGTAGTGCAGTGTAGTGCAGCTCAACGCCTACCTGTACTACTACTAGCTGTAGCAGTGCTACTGTCGTGGACATGTAAATCCAGTCGATTAACCGGGACCGGCGCCCTCAGCGCGTACAGAACAGTGCACAGTCATGTTGTTCCGATGCGACCAGCGCGTTCCAGCGCATGTGTGTTCTGTTTGCCCACGGCTGCATGGCCAGCGCCCTGGGGCCGCTAGACGTGTGACCGGATTTCCATATCCACTACAGTATAGTACATCATGTACATGTACACACGCGGTATGGCATGCATGCACTCTGAAATGTAAATACACCTTGCAGGTGAACCCACCACAAACACCTGTTAGACTTCTCTAAGTAAATACATGTGTTTACAGACGACCCCTGAGTAATCAA